ATCTTTAAAATCATCATTCTGAACTCTAGTTCGGACATCTTACTAATGTCCGTATTGATTAAGTCCCTGGCCGTCAGTACTGCCTCTTGTTCTTTTTTTTGTGGTGATTTTTTCCATCTCGTCATTTTGTCCAGAGGAGAATAGAGGAATGAGAGAACAAAATGCTACCAGGGTAACAACAACCTCAGAAAAATATACACTAAACAAATCAGAAGAGACCTTCCAGAAAGTGGTCGCTTTTCTGTTCAGAGAGTTGCTGCTATTTTTTTCTTCAATCTCCTGTTGAGTTCGTAGTTGTTCAGAATGGCTTGATCCCTGTCTAGCTGAATTCCTGGGACCAGACGAAATTTAGGTTGCCTACTCCTCTGCCATCTTGCTCCTCCCCCTCATCCCAGCCATTATTTCTTTAAATAAACTTCCTACTCTCTTCTCCCTGTCTTCTTCTGAAACTCCAGTAATTCACAAATTAGTTCTTTTGACCGTATCCCATAGTACATATAGGCTTTATTCAAACTTTTTCATTGTTTTTTTTTTCCTGCTCTGACTGGGTAATTTCAAAGTTCCGGTCTTCTGGTCTTCTGTCTTATAGTTTTTTTCATCCTGATCCATATTGCTCTGGATGCTGTTGGTTCTTTTTCATGACCACCCTCTATTGCATTCTTCATTTCATTCATTGTATTCTTCAAGTCCAGAATTTCTATTTGGTTCTTTTTTTTAGTAATTTCTGTCTCTTTGTTAAACTTCTTATTTTGTTCATGTACTATTTTCTTGATGGCACTGAATTGTCTTTCTGTATTTCTGAGTTTGCTTAAAAAATACATATTTTGTATTCTTTATCATGTACATCACAGATCTTGATGTCTTTGGGGTCAGTTACTAGATTATTATGATCATTTGGTGCTGTCATGTTTCCTTGATTTTTCACGTTCCTTGAAATTTTGCATTGCCATCCTCATGTTTGATGTAGCAGTCACCTGCCAGGGGTCTTTACTAATTGCCTTCAGGAGAGAAATAACTTCCTTCAGCCCTGCGAGTTATTCTGAGGCATTCTCAGACTTCCTAGAGTACACCTGCTCCATGCTTCTTCCTCCCTCTTGGGGCAGAATTCTTAAGCTTGTATGCCTTTTCTTGATCCTGCAAGATATCTGGCCAAGTGCCCACAGACTGCTGTTTTTACAAAAATGGCACTAAAACTCAAGTTTGTGGTCTCTTCCTGGCCCTCAGATTTAGGCTGGCTTTTTATGCATTCTCACTAGCCATTTGCTAAAACTTGCTCTGGCTGCTGCCACTGGAAGCTCGCGTAGGAGCTGGCCGCAGGGTGGGGGTGTGTGTGGGTAAGGTGCACAGAGTGCTGTGGGTGCTATGGGCCTGTTGAGGGCCTTCCAGTGGCTCATGGGCATACTTCTTGACGGGGTCTGTGATGCAGTGAATAGGATCTGAGTCCTGTTAATGCCCCCTGAGAGTCCCGTC